GCTTGCCGCCGCCGCCAATATCTATATAGACGAGTTCTCCGGTCTTTTTCGAGCGGTGAAGCACAGGTGCGCGGCGTGGTTTCAAAGTTGCTTTGCCAATGGCGCAGCATTCGCATGGCCTTTTTGAGGCTGACAACCCATCAATGTCAATGCCATTGACGATTTTGGCTGTATTCTGCACCCCCTGAATGCTGAGATGCATCATACGGCGGTGCCAAGTGTCGACATTGACTCGGGAGCGGTCCAAAACAGGTGGTTTTGACGCTTTTGACGCTTTTGACGCTTGCTCGGTTGCTATAGGCGGAGCTTGCTCAATTTGTTGAGCTTCCTCGATATGCGGAGCTTCCTTGGTGAGGCTCTCGGCATTCAACTCATCCGATTCTGTCGTCGTTTTCAAGGCATATATTGCTTTCTCAGTTTGATGAGTTTTAACGACGTTAAGCAGCCATTGTGAGCCATTCTTCCTTCCCGAAGTAAGGTGCGAGCCGTCCTTCTCAATGAAGTCAACCCTGGTTGGCTTATAAATGGCTGTAATGCCTTTCTTTGAGATACGGTTGCCGCTGAAGAGGTTGCACTGTATGGTCGGGCACCATATTGTATTGCAGAGTTCGATTTCTCTGGTTTTACGGCCCGATTTGACGGTCAAAACGACGTTTCCACGAAGCCCGTTTTGCTCTTGTCGTCCATTTATAGTGACTATGGTGGTCGTAATTGGCTTAGCAGTGCCAGCCACGAAGTAGTGAGGTGAAGAGATAAAGTGGTCATCGCTTCCTGGATCACATATCCATGCTCCTGGGCCATTTTTGGTGTTTACCGAGAGGGCTATAGTAGCTGGTGACGGTGATTCGTCGCTTAGCGAAGCGGTGAGGGAGGCGGTGAGTAGAGATCTTCTTTCTTCTCCTTTCTCTTCCTTTTCCCCTCTTTTTGGCCGTTTCTCGGGGTATTTCTTCCAGCAATTGGAGCTTTTATGCTTCCGGCCGCAGTGCTTGCATTTCTCTCCCGTTGCAGCGGTTGAGTATGCTTTTGATGTCTCGTTGGAGACGTTCTCTGTCTGGTTCTCTATCTCGCTGACGAGCAGCTCGAATTGGAGAATTTCCTTATCAGGGTTAGATGAAGCTGTGAGTCGAGACTTGAGGTTGGTCTTCCAGCTTTGCCATTTCTCCGAGTCGAGCTTTCGAATGAACCAAAGGCATTTGATTCGCTCGCTTTCAATGCCTTCATTATGGACCTTGGCCCATGCAGACTGAAAGGCGTTTTTGTATTGGTCGAAGCTGGCGTAATTGCTCAGCTTACATCGCTCAAGCTCCGCAATGCCGTCTTCAGCTACTTTGTATGGATGCGGCTTATAATTCAGCTCCAATGCTCTCCAAATAGCATGCGGCTGGTTGATTTTGCGGTGTTGTAAGAACTGGAGAATGGGCTTCGATATGTGATTGCAAATAACCTTTCTCGCGTGGCTGATGAATTTCTTTTGCATCATTGAATACCGATGGTCGGCTGGGAGGGCAATGACTTCGCCATATACAATGGCTTCAATTGCATTGTCTTCAAAGACTTGTTGCATGCTCATTACCCAAAGGGTGTAGTTCTCCTTTCCCTTCAAAGCTTCGAATTTGTCGTCATCAGTAAGCTTGCGATGAATAGTCGCAGCTATTTTGATGTGCTCGGTGGCTTTGCGAACGGCTCTTGCGTATTGGACCTCTTCATTGGTCATTGCCGGCGTCGGTTGATGGCTTGGTAGACGTCTTAGCGGTGCATTGCCAGTGGAAAAGTGAGATCTCCGCGAAGCTGTTCTTTGAATTGGCTCTCCACTATGGCGACTGGAGGCTCTAGGAGTATGTGTTCCGTTCGGGTGAGCTGTATAGCTTCTTCCCGGCTTGCTCGACGCAGTTCGGTTGCGATACATTACGTCGGCATCTGTATGGGGCCCATCGGTCTCTGACTGGTCCGATGGTCCATGGATTGGCTCACTTGGTTGAGTAAAGAGAGAGGGTGCTCTCCTACTTTGAATGTTAAGCCTATATCTATCAGACGTTGTACTGGCGTCTAAGACATGTGGTTGGTTGGTGCCAGTGATCTCTGGCCCATATTGAGGCAGCGAGGTCGAAGCTGGCTGCTCTCTTATTGGTTGGTTGCCAATTGCTCGCGATGAAGGGCCCGGCGCCGAGTCCTGGATCACGGTATGCGTATCGTCTTCAACATCAGAGGGGTAAGCGTCGCTCATTGGTGGAGCTTCACTTTCACTCCAATCGAGGTGATCGGTCTCGAGACGGCGACGTTGAGAACGTGTGGTGCGTCTATCAGACATTGTTGGAGGAGTGGACTCAGGGGTAAAGCAAGTAAAGAATTGATAGCAAGAATGAAGCTATTCCCGGCTTACGGAGACGAAGCCGGGCTCATAACCTGTTGTAATTTACAATGGTCTGAGAAGCACTATGCATGAGCAATGGGCAGTAAAACGAGATGATTTAAGTCTACCTCCCGAAGGAGGCTTCTCTATAGCTATTTATAATGGTCAAATGCATACGATATGCCTTTCATGAAACTATTGCGTGATCAGCTCACTAGCAATATGAAAAGGCCACGTTGCTTGATGCATTCAACCAAGTGCTCTGAAGCTCTCTATAGCGCTGCTCAGCCAAGCATTAGCAGTGCTTGGCGAGCTTCAGATCACAACACAGTTAACCTGGGGAGAAAGTACATGAAAGGACCGTGGTTGGAAAGGCCCAATGATTTCATTGGTTGCCCAACCATTTCAGGCCTCCCGTTAAATCTGTTCAGGGATTTTCAATTTCATTAATGCTAGATCGCCTCCATTTGTCCAACTTGAAAAATCGCCCGATGTGAAGCATGAGCGAATTTGGAATTCTTTTCCAAATCCATAATTCGACGTGCGAACTCGGTGGGATACTAGAGTTCAGGCATTAGTCCCAAAGCAGGTCAAACAAGCGAGATTGGGGATAAATCCCAGCGCAATGGTGGCTTGCCCCGCTGTTGGAGGCATTTTTGTTATGGGACACTTGGCGATGGTAGCCTTTCAAAACCCACCGCCAGTCGTCGGCCGCAATTGTTTTGCTTTTCTGCAACTTCCCGTTTCGAACGAATACAAAGCTGGTACAACTATCTCAAAGACGAAACATCACTGTTATATCTTGTTGATTCCTTCAGCTCCGGTGAAACATTTCTTAATATTATGACCCACTCGTCTCGTACTCGTAATTCTACGAGGACTACTTCGTTGTCAACGTAGCTCGCCTACAGTTTCCGCAAAGAGCATAAGACTCCGGGATGCTCAAGCTGATTAGAGATAGTAGTTAGTCGTGCGCAAGCGGAGCGTGTAAACCCTCTCGCTCACCCAAATCAGGCTTGTCAAAATGGAAAATGTTGTCACGCAACTCAAGTGGAATAAAATCACCGGTTCAGTTGGCCATCATACGGTGGTTAATGTCAATGTCTTGATAGGCCTTATCGTGTTGAACCAATGAAGAGCAGCGAGCATCTTAAGCTTTCCTATGTAGAAGCTCAGATTTCATGACGCAGAGTGAATTCATCTGGAGAAACTAGAAACGTAAGAGCTAGAATACCGGCTCTTGATGCAGAATGAAATAGCAAAAGACCGCCAGGAATAAACAAAGATTTCAATCCTGACCAAACCTTGCTTCACGCCAGGGGAAAGCAATACTTACAGTACTGGCTTGGAAAGTGAAGCAGAGCGATCCAAAGAAGGCAGGTCTACAGGCCCCTTCAAATGAAGATTGCTTTTGTGGCACCGAACCGTCGCGGGAGCTACTGACACGATATCCTCCACCAAGGCGTCCTCCGCTTTGACGACACCGAGGTCTTCGTCATCAATCTCGGAGTCATCTTCGACTACCTCCCAGACCGCACCTTCTTCTGATTGTTTCGCGGATTGAGGAAACGTGAAGAACAAGTGGCAAAGTGACATCACTCTCGGGATGTACCAAGCATACCCTTCACTACTTTGCAGGTGCATGGAATTTTTGACTTTCTCTTAGTTATGTTTTTCAATGTCTGGTTTTATTTCCTTTTTGAACATTATATGTATTGAGGCAACATCAGAAAAAGAAGAGGACAGCAATGCATTGAGTTAAACTGGATGGGTGTTCTGATAGATTTATGCTCATTCATAGATTGTGATTCGATTCTGCATTTTGTTTTTTAGGTTCAGTTGGGAGAGTAGTAATAGATTGTACTATATCTATGCTTTGCTTTCCAATTTGGGCGCTTTTCTTGAAGATTTCCATCGATATGATAGTATTCGAGACCTTGTCCCAATCCGACGAAAAGCAAATAAGGGACTTCCCATTTTCGGAAATTTGGGCCATGGTGATTGAATATGCCCTTTGATGTTGCAGGTTAGTTTGCGCGTTATATTGTCGTCCCAGGGATTGAACATACATATAATATGACGCTTCTTGAGTTTTCCGACGGTCTTCGAGCTCGACGACAAACAGCTCGCCAATCACGGGAGCACGGGTAATGCAAATACCAATAGCAGGCTCAAGATGTATCTTGCTACCTTGAGAATCTGCCAGAATCAGTTCGGAATTCGCATGGTTTGCTTGGAGCGACTGCCTGCTTGTCCTAGCGCATTGTTTAGTCTTTCAATTTTCTTTCTTATCACTTGGATCGAGGAATCACGTACAACAGATCACCCTGTTGGGAGTAAGAAGCTATGTCGATGGAGAAACCGTGCTTGAGATTTGCAAGTTGGGGTTGGGTTGTATGCAACTCCCTGCAGTGGTATTCGACCTCTAGCACCCGCACGTAAAGTTGGTTTACGAGTGCAGCCTTGCTACTAACATCGACGGGCGTGGCGTAAGTTCTTGCTACGGTATGTTTCCGGAAGCCAACATATCCCGGACGACCGCTACGGAACGTGCTATCACTCGTGGATTGCTGATTCCGCAGTGCAAATATTTTTATCGGCAGGGACTCTCGCAGGGCGGTCTTTGGGCCGATTGGTCGGCTTTGGGGCCCTAACAAGGAGTCATCAGCAAACTGGTAACGATCTCTCTGTTCTGGACCGTACTCAAGATCTCTTGGGATTTGTTAGATTGAGACTTCCCAATTGCGAATAATCGGTCGACGATTGTGAAACAATTTGTTGTATAAAGCTCCCCGCTAACTTTGTCGAGTATTCTCGCAAGGTCCTGGTGGTCATAGTTTCTCATAACGCATGCTAGGACTTCGGATTTCTCTGGACATACATTAGTATTAGTGTTAAAAAGAGTGCACGACGTAAGACTGACCGGATTCTTGCATACCTGAGGCGTCTTTGAAGCCCCATTCAACGCTAGTGGGCCACCACCTAGGTTCCTCTTCCAGTCTCGATTTCACAGCAGCCAAAACCTCGTCATTAATAAAATTCCAATCAACGGCGCTTGGCCACCAATGTGGTTTGTTTTCCAATCTCAGTTTCGCAGTCGCCAGAAAGTGGTTGTAGAGCACTTCTCTATCGTTAGGGCAGAGTGCTTGGAACTCTCCATAATATTGGTCGGCGTAAGTTGGAACCGAAAAGTCGACCTTTGCGTCCATTGTGTTATTCATGGATGGGTAAAGTTTGAATGTCCAAAGAGTAGGAGGGCAAGGGATTGTTTTAAACACAAGAGCAACAGATCAATCGTTGGGAAAAGTCACTGCCCTGACCTAGCTGCCGAGCTAGCTTGGAGGGCATGAAAGCTGGACCATTCCTATTTGGAGAGCCGCTAGGGGCCTGAATCCCTGTTTGGGTTTCGCAGGCATAAGCAACCTATAATCAAATTGAAGGCTTCCGACTGCAATACGGTGAATCCAACTTTTCTTGGTTTGGTTTATCGCACTTGGCTGCTAGTAATGGAGCCGTTTACCGGATTGAGAATTTTCCCCCTGCATCCTTCAACTCCTTCCTTACGAAGACTCCGGGTCCACGTATCATGGAGCCGATAATTCCATGAATTTTGATCTCAAATGCCTACTGTCAAGGCTGACTACGTTGTTTGAATCGCACCCACATGGCGCCTTGTTCACATTCCTCGTAATTATATTGAAGACTAACGCCTGGCGGGGCCCCTCACAAAAAGCGTGGCAGCTCCTAGGATGAGTTCGGCCGATTCCAACATAAATTACATTAACTGTGTCGTAAATGGAACAGGAGTCACAGCTTCGGAACTAGATTGCAAGCAGGTCTCGCCAACCCATGGGTGTTGGAAGCCTTGGAAGGGCGGCGCCATCCTGGCCGATAGGCTGTAGCCCTCCTGAGCCGGGAAGTGTCGGTGTTCTGTGTGTACGTCTAGCCCGAAACCTCGAAATTGTCTTAACCAATACACGTCCGGCAATTGTTTACTAGCCCCACCGCCAAGGCCTTAGCGCGACTCACTCGCGTCACATCCAATGGAATAGCTCTTACGGGGCCAAAGAACAACATCAAGCGTGTATAGGTCAAGGCAACTACAAGATTGCGGGCTAGACGCCGTAATATAAGTAGCACGTACGCTCCTTTGTATATCCTAGCAAAATTTCCTGCATATCATCTATCAACTGAAAGAACTGATGTTCATATCGGCTTGGCGCATGCAAACATCCCTCAAAAGCTACACCGCATGCTCTCTGCAAGCCGGCCACAATTGCCCCACCGCATCCAGACATGGAGCCAAAGGCATGGGTATACAGATTTCCAATACCCCAAAGATATCGTAACGTCATCGGGTCTATCTTTGGGTTGGTTATGACGGAGAGCGAGTATTACGAGCTAGCCGACCCCTTGTTGAGTGGACTCACCGCCACGGAAATCTCTTTAATAGCGCACCTGCTCGGAGTCACAGAACAATTCCTCTACGCCAGCAGATATCTGAATCCGCTCAGGGAGCAGGACCCTTTCATGGTCTACTTTGAGCCACTGATCAAGAAGGGACTGCAAGTCTTAATTCTTGGTAGCGATATTCTGGATTTAATGGAGAGAATCCAGCGTCCGGCGACGTACTGGGGCAGTCGAATTGCGGAGGTAGAGACCAATGGCGGACTCATACATACGCCTGAAATTTGGATCGTGGCAATACGCCCCAACCAGCCCACGTACGAAGCGCCAACAGAGCTCGTGGCATCTGAAGAGCCATTTGACGCCTTAGTCCAGCCTGTGGAGAGCAAATACATGTACAGAGACCCCGATACGAGCATGCCGGTGATGTGGTTAAAGGGTACGGGCGTATACTTGAGACATCGACATCCTCAAATGGAGACTCAACGGTCGAAATACATGTGTACCGTGAAATCATCCTCTTTTGCGATCGATTGGGATGATCTTTACCAAGACATACGGCCCGGCTCTACCCTACCCTACATCGACGCTTCAGGAGAACCCCACACGATCAAATTTTCAGAGCATGATACGGCGATGGAATTCAAGTCGGATACCCATAATGAAGATCGCTCGGTTGTTTTGTGGAAGAGAATGTACGGTCCGGAGGCGAACGCGGTATTCAATGGCAGGGTGCTAGACAGAAATGGGAGGAATATTTTGGGAGACGTTGAGTTTGCTTTCAAGTTCCCTTTTCAGAGTAACATATAACTGGGGATGACATTGTAAGTTACAATCGAAAGTCAGGCATCGAATCCACTAAAGCCGAACTGCTTAAGTCAGTTCCTATGAATATGGTATTCAAGGTTGGAGAGTATCGTCATCATCAAAAAAGAGTGGTTATCATCCTCCCAAGGCAGAAGGTGGCACTGAGGAGCCTAATTGTGGAAAGAGTAGGATGGGAAGCATGTATTTATGAATTTCTTCACCCACGACGTCACGTCCGGGTCAAATGTTCTTCCACGAGGTGCACTAATATGGTATATGCAGCGACCAATCCAACCCCAGAATACCTGATGCAAGTTTTTAAAAGGCAGCAGACCCTGGGGCTCAGGGTGATTCCAGGAGCTGGGTTACTCCCAAGACATGGACACATTTTCCGGGGCTGTCGAACAACGACTTGCTCTGTGTAAACATCGATCAAACTTGGTGTTCGTAAAGACTTCAAAACGGTGACTATGGAAATACCATAGCCCCAGCAAATCGTACGTAGCTTGTAAGACTATCCACCATCACTATCACGAAACCGGTCACGCTCCTATTGACGATTCGATCAGTGCTAGGAGCTCATCTCTTGACCCTGGGAGTTATCTTACTCCCAGGGGCTCCTGAAACATATCTGGGAGCAAAGAAGCAGCTTCTAGGAGCCACATATCCCCCAGGAAACCCGATGTAGCTTCTGGGGTCTAGTATCCCCACCTCGAGGAATCAAAGCCGCGTTCCTGTTGACGATTCTTTTGATTCCTGGGGCTATAATTTGGCCCTCTAGGAGTGACCGAATGACGCAGAATTGTGCGCAGGTCCGGTGAAGGTTTTTTGTGAGGGCTGTCGGCGATCTCGGAAGGCAAGATAGTGACTCTAGGACCCTAAAGTAAGCTCCCAGGGGCTCCACAGCTCCCAGATCTGGTCAATGTATTCCCAGAGCGAGTTTCGTATTCAGTCAGGAACGTAAAGTGAAGATGCCGGGGGTAGACCTCGCTTTCCTAGAGATTAGAAATGACTCCAGGAGCTAAACAGCATTTCCTAGGGGCTGTTTATCCCCTAGGAAATGCTTTTGAGGTTCCCAGGGCCAACATATTGGTTCCCAGAGTAGGTTAACAAGCACGAGAGTTTGTCAGTCTCTTGCCTGTGGCTTTTCTGCCAACAATCCCCGCCTTCACGCGACACGGCTCCACTGAGATGAATCCTCTGTTTCTTTGGTCACCGCCGTTAGGTATCATGAAAACAGAACTTTTATCTACCACTATAGTTTCGAGCTCAGACATTTTCGGAATCACCGAAGCAGTCAATAGCTACTGGCTATGGTGTATTGGTGTCCAGCACTTACGAGATGAAACGGTCGCGTTGTCCTTCTGAGTTTAACCATCGGTATTTCATTTCTTGCTAATTTGCTTCAAAATTGTATATCACGGCTATAACGGCTGTAACCTGTGATCACCTACGCTGAGTGGAATTGAGTCGTGCCGATCGGCGAAGCGATGCAGCGGTGGAAGGTTGTCGCGGTAGATAAATTCCTGCTAGTCTGGCTGAGCGACGGGGCCCACCATCGGGAGATGATTCACTTGCTGCGAGGACGGAATGTGTTTCGGCATCCGACGAGGGGATTCGTAAGGGGCGAGTGATGGCATCTAGGGCTCCTTCGTTTCGGCTGCGGTCATCAGTATCTTGGTCGTCTCAGAAATAAGGTCATCCACACTTACCACACACAGCATGACGTGCCAAACCCTGTATCTCGCTTTTCCAACCATTCTTCGGCGCATGACAGATGACAGAGCGATGTGCACTGACCGCAGTGCAAGATCACGCTCTCGTCCGCATGGTCTTCATCCTCGGTCTGGCAGAACACACAGTAGATGCTGTCGACGTGGATGCTGTCGACCGCTTGGCTCGGCCTGAGACTCTGCAGCGTCAAGTCTTGGACACCCGCCCGGATATTAGTTGCCGATGAGAGGATGGCTGGTCGGGTCGGCGAAACGCGCCATGGAACATTGTTCGTCCGCAGCGTTGCAGAAGTCACAAATGGATAGAATGGCTGCACTGGCTCGGGGTTGGTTGACAGGGGCACCGGTGGTGGTGATGACCGGGTGTTGTCTGATGCAGGGCGTCGCCTGGAGGCTGACGATGTCTGACGCTGGCCCCGATGTACAATGACTGATGGAGAGGCCATTCTGGAGCCATGTGGTACTCGCGCCTGGTTGCGGACGGCGGCTTCATACCACTGCTGGCCAACTTGGTCGGCCTGCCGTTGCCGGTGCCATCTCGCGCAGAGGAAGTCTCTGGCGACATCACAGAGCTTGGACTGCAACGTTGACAAGTCAAACGGCTCTCTGGCGAGACTGGTCAACTTTTGATGGCCGATCTTGGTGTCTTCAACTTTGATCGAGTTTTTGCACGGCTCGCCTTTTTTCGTCGTCCCGCAACAAGAGCCAGGACCGCCATTGGGGCTGACCTCTATCTCACAAACAAGAAACGGATTCCAAGGCAGCATGGTAGTTATTGAGGTAGTCGTCAAAGGCAGAAAATGCTTCGGATTGTGGTGGTGTTGGGCAATCCACTGCGGCGTTCCCTCGCCAGCTTTATATGCCATCGCCGTGGGCTCCTTACCTACATGGCTGCGTGGCTGGCACGGGACACTTCCATGAAACAGTCGGTACGTCGAAGAATGCATTCATACGCAGTATGCGCCGTATACAGCCGGTCAGTGGCCTGCATGAAGGGATATCATTCCAGACCACTGCTGCAATCAGCTGCACATTTGACTATCCATCGCGGGGACCATACATTGGCGAACAGATTGGCTACTGCGGTAGGCAGCGAAGTCGACAAATGCTGCGTTAGGTTCTGGGTTGCCTATGAATTTCGAAGTGCATGATAGGTTGTGATTTATTCTTATGGCGCTAGATGCAAGATGTGGGTACGTAGAGATAGATTGGTTTCCCAGGCCATTGACACACTACCAGGAACAGTTTTCGCGTTCCCAGGA